GAGAAGGGCTTGGGGGTACTGGTGGATGAAAAGCTGGACGTGAGCTCGCAATGTGCGCTCGCAGCCCAGAAAGCCAAGCGTATCCTGGGCCGCATCAAAAGAAGCGTGGCCAGCAGGTCGAGGGAAGTAATTCTGTCCCCCCTACTCTGCTCTGATGAGACCCCACCTGGAGTACTGCGTCCAGCTCTGGGGTTGCCAGCACAGGAAAGACACAGACTTGTTGGACCAGGTCCAGAGGAGGGCCATAAAAATGCTCAGAGGGCTGGAACACCTCTCCTATGGAGAGAGGCTGAGAGAGTTGGGGTTGTTCAGCCTAGAGAAGAGAAGACTCCAAGGAGACCTTATTGTGGCCTTTCAATGTATAAAAGAGGCTTGTAAGAAAGGTGGAGAGGGGCTTTTTACCAGGGCTGGTAGTGACAGGAGAAGGAACAACAGTTTTAAACTGAAAGGGTAGGTTTAGACTGGACTTAAGTAAGAAATTCTTTACAATGAGCGTGGTGAGACACTGGAACAGGTTGCCCAGAGAAGCTGTGGATGTCCCATCCCTGGAAGTGTTCAAAATTAGGTTGGACGAGGCATTGAGCCACCTGGTCTAATGAAAGATGTCCCCATGCTCGTGGCAGGGGGGATTGGACTAGATGATCTTTAAAGGTACCTTCCAACCCAAACCATTCTGTGATTCTGTATCTAAAAAATTAATTCTCAAAGAGCATAGTTTCATAGACTTCATGGAAGAGGCAAATTTTATTTTCTCTTAAAAAACAGAACTTTTTATTTAGTTTCTTTCTTGGATCATCAGTTTAGACTTTACTGGCTGTAAGATCTGAGTGCATATTCCAGTACTGAATGTTTAGTCTGAACGCTTTAGCGTGCTTCTGTTGTTAATGTTTACTAAAGGTTTTCATTGTTTAGCATTGGCTCTTGAAATAATCACTATTTTGATTCTGGTGACAGAAAAGCAACTCAAGTTGGTTCAAAAGTTAATTCATTCACAAAAGTGCAAAGAAAGCATATCAAGAGTTAGAGAAGTACTCCGTATTGTTGTTGTTAAAGTGAATAGCAATGAGGAACAGCTCCACATCGAGGCTGGGATATTTCTGATGAGATATATGTAGAAAAGGACTTAAATACCTTGAAAAGAGACCAGGAAACGTCTGTGCATGATGTAATAGTTTGTGAACAGGGAATTTATTTAAAAGATATTATTTTGCCTGACAATGTCAGAAGAAACAATTTCCACTATGTAAATTATTAAGACGGATTATTTTGGGAGATCTTATTTGTACATAATCTGCTAAATTTTAAGCCAAGGTTGTCTAAATATGTAATTCAGTTTTCTGGCATCACTAGGGTTTAGTAACATGGCTTCAGACTTGACAGAATTTAATTTATTCCCAGGAATGTTAGCTAAATAGTTCAGAAACAACAAAGTACAGTCCTTTGGCTTAGTTGCATATTAGCGTGCTGATGTACACAGCAATAAGATGCACTGGCCAAGGCTGCTATTTGTACTGTAACACTGTGAATACAGTATTTAAGTGGCCACTGTATTCTTAAATATTGACCTCAGTGTTAGGAGATAAAAATTCTCTGGTAACTGTTGGTTCACTCTATGTATATATGTGTGTGTGTGTGTATGTGTATTCCTAGTTTATTAAGTATAATAAGTAGCAGGACAGACCTGCATGTCTTTATCTGTATCACAGCCTTCTTATTTTTGTTGCCTAGTGCTATCCCATTGTGCTTGTACACTGTCAGGATGCTGATGCCTGTTTCCTAACATGCATTTTTTTTTTTTTTTTTTCCGTCTTAGGCTGTGCTGAAGATGGTATATGAGGAGAGCCGTAAAATACTGGCTTTGTCAGAATGTCCCTTTGGTTTTAGGGAGCTGAAAAATGTTCATCAGACCAGAGCAGCGATGGAGGGATGGCAGAAGGAGGGCTTAGCCTTGCTGGATGCTATACAGTCGCTGAAAGATTACCTTAGCAAGATGGCAGATAGAGGAAACAAGGTATGACAATAAAAATATCCTTTAAAGCAAGGTAACCAGGTTTTTATATATATAAAAATGTATATTGTTATGTAGTTTGTGTGTGTATATGTATGTATGAGGAGCAAGGGACTCTTTCCTTTGAGATTTGAACAGGCCTCTTTAAACACCTTTGATCTGCTTAAATTAACAGATAGGTATACTCTTACACAGTAATGATATGAAAGACAGTGGGTTAGAGATTGAGAGATGCCATTTAAAAAATATATATTTTTTTAACAGGAATTTTCAGGTATTGCTGCTGACTGGAGAGGAGAACTGCTGCAAGCAGTACAGAGCGTGTTTGAGAAGGAGAGAAATGTGTTGCAAATTGACTTGAAGTCTCACTTCTCCAATCCTGAGTCTGGTGGTGAAGGTTCTTTAGTGGAAAAACTGGAATACATAATGAAACAACAAGTAAGAAAACCTCTTAAAGTGTTATGCTCATAAATCACTTCTATTCCTCCGTGGTTTTTTACATTTTTATTACTTTCATTGTTAAATCTTGTCTTGTGCGTTAATCCAGATTGTGTGGGATCAGTAGGCTTTTATAATCTATGTTTTGGTACCATTTTTCTCAAACTTTGTATGTTGTGTACAAGGCCTATTGAGTATTTTAGCTGGCATCCAGAAAGATTGTGATAGTGAGAAGGAAATATTTGATAACTAGGGATGAGGGGAAGAATTCCATGTAGAGCTTCAGACTTCTTTTGCAAAGGGTATATATTGAGCTAACTCTGAATCTGTTTGGGATTTTTTTGCTGACAGTGTCTAGTTTTTAGGTTCAGACCAGATTGTTTGTAGTAACTATTATGTATAGACTATTATTAATAACTGTTATTCTATTTGGAAGCTAGTGAAGTGGGTTTTTCTTTGTTACTTAATGTTAACATTTTGCATTAATATGAAGCATGAACTTAGTCATCTGAAGTTGCTTCCATATAAAACTTGTACTGCAAGGGTTTCTCTAGGGTTTATCTTTGCAGAAAATATGGGAACAGCCTTGTAGATTTAATAGGACTTGGTTTGTTTTCAGGAGGAACAGAGGCAGATGGTTGTAGAGCACCTTTTCTCCTCAGATCGGAATAGCTTGCTCTCTGAAATACAGGACCTCCGAGCTCAGCTACGCATGACACATCTTCAGAACCAGGAGAAGCTACAACAGTTACAGGAAACCCTTACCAGTGCAGAAGATCATGGGAGCAAACAAGAACACCACCTTCGGAGGAAAGGTAGTAATCGCCAAGTCCCTGTTATTTGGTCTTCTATGTCAGTTCTTTCCTTTTTTGCCTAGAAGATAAAAGGCAAATAAAGGATTGTTTTGCGAAGAAGCAGATGCTGTACAATTTTTCAGTTTTACTAATGCACTCAGGTTTTCTGCGATTTTAGCAGAGGAAGGAATTCTTCTTTCTAATATTAGTAGTTAAGAAAAATCTGAAAAGCAATGAGAAGCTTTAAAATAACCCAAAGCAATAGAACTGAAGAGTGACTCTTTGTTAAATAGTGTATACATGTAGAAAACCCATCAAAGATAGTAAAATGCCCTTGTTGGTTTTCAGGGAATTCTTTATATCTATGTTTGCTAGTAAATGGATGGGTTTGCTTAATAAGGTTTAGAATCCATTAGTAACAGGTTACTGACAGTATATCACAGTAGCTCTTATAGTCTCACCCAGCTTTCATGTTGTCCTCACTTTGCCTGGTCCTCTAGCAGCAGAGCTGTAGTATGTATGTGCATCTTTCTGCTGATTCATATGTTTGAAAAGAAACGAATTCTCCAGGGAAGAACACTTTAATACAGCTGATTTCCGCCCCCCTGCCCTGCCCTCCCCCCCAAGTTTGAACCAGTGTAACTGATAACGTTGTCAAGTTCCCTGTAATACAAATAACTAACATTTTCTTATCCTAGTTGAATCATAAATGATTTGCACAGCACCCTGTCTGAGGAGCAGAAGAGAGCCTCTGAAACATGTGATCTCTTGAATCAAGAAAAAGCAGCCCTGAAATCAGAGCTTCATGAAAATAAGCAAGAGAACGAAGGGCTGCGGAAATCCCTAGAAGAGCTTCGGAGGGAAATAAACCAGTTACGGTGAGAAGTAGATTTATTCATTTATTTTATTTTAGTTATCTAACAGGTCTGAAAGAGCTTTATACTCATTGGATCCACAAATGACTTAGCGCTTGGAAACACAAGGAGGAAAACTAACCTCTCTCACTTTTCATGGATATGTTCATTTTTCTTTACTAACTGCTTAAATTTATTTATTCTTCAATTCAGATTTGCATATTGACATTTTCTGTAGCGTTGACTGAGAAGGTTGTGGAAACAAGTGCATGTTGTATGGGTCTATTAAAAGTGAACACACTAGATCCCTGTATCCCTGATGTACCCCACTCCTGCAGCTTTTGTCTTAGTCTTTTGGTTGGTACTTCTGTTTGCCTGCCATCTTGTGTATGGGTTTTTTTCCTCCACCACCCCCCTGCCCCATCCCACCCCACCCTTATTCCTAGTGTATGCCAATGTTTTTCTTTCCTCTCACAGGAAACAGTTTTGCTCTGCCAGGATAGATAACTTCTCCCTATCTCTTAATTGTTACTAAATAGAGCAATTCTAGCTTTGCTTGCAGGGAGGCAAATGTTTTCAGAAGCTAAATAATTGTGGCTTGAAAACTGACCCTCTCTAGAAAGAGCAGAGACCATCTTAAAGAATCCAGGCAATAGACCAACTCACAAAAAGTAACCCAAAAAATGTCTTGTTTGTGTTGCTGGTGAAGGATGTTATGTTCTGAAGTGTCTTTTTGAACTTTGCAGTTTTGAATTGAAAAAAAAAGAAAAGGATTTGACAACTGCACTTGAAGACTTGCAGACTGAACATCTGAAGGAAACAGAGCTACAAGGTTTGTTTGAGGAACAACAGCTTCAGCATAAGAAAGCAGAAGATGAAAAGACAAAGGCCTTGGAGGTAATGTCCTACATCTCAATGCTTCAGTTCACCTCCCTTGCTGCATGAAGTTATCTAACGGGTTATTTTTGCAGGTTTTTTCACGCCCAATGGTTTTTGTTTAATAACTGTTTAAAGAAAAAACCCCCCCCCCCCCCCCAAACTTCTACTCAATGTGCATAGGGTTTATTTTGTTTTCACAGAATTAAAGCTTTCAGTTACCCTCCTTAATTGGACATGCAGAAATAAGCAAAAGTTGTACACCTTCCCCCCCCATATCTTCTTAGTGTTTTTGGAGCTTTACGTTTTCATATTCTTGGGACTAGTTTTGTACTGCCCCTTGTGTAGGGAGAGCCAGATTCTACAATTGTGTAACTGCATCCTTTATTCCAGAGCAAACGTGCTGTGAGGATGTGATGTGTATGATAACTGAGATTATAAAGAAAACCACCCAATGATACATATGCTTGGCAGAGACTAACTGGAGCCTTTCCAATATAACATGTATTTTTGGAGGTTAACCAAAGTCTTTTCTTGTTCCCTTTCTTCTAAATTGAACAGAAAACAAATGAACAGTTTTCTCTCTGATACTGTGATAGCAATGACTCAGTTCTTGTAAAAGGCCTACAGTGACTGGAAAAGGAAGAAGATTTGACATAAATTTTTTTTTAAACTTAAAAACCAAAACCAAACTCTATCAGATAACTCCAAAACAATCCTAGTTAAATGCTCTAAGTGAGGAAACACAGTTCTGACTCTATTTCCTTGTAGTCTGGCCTCTCACATCATCTTTCTGGGAGATGTTTAGGTTTGTGGGTGATTTTTGTTTGTCGGGATTTTTGTTACTACTTGCATGGTAGGACATGGTGCTAACATCCTCCATCTTGCTCATGCAGGGAAGGCAGGGCCCATCTTAGCCAAGGCAAAGAGAAAAGTGCATTGCCCCAGGTGTAGCTGTGCACCAGATTAAACCATTCACAGTTCACATCGCTGCAGTCTCGCATTCCCAAATCCTCCCTTGAAGCTGTACTGTGGAAAGCTGATGCCACTTAGCATCTGACCTGGCTTTCTACAAGATCCGAGGAGAGGTAGTGCTGGCTAACCGGGGGGGGGGGTAGGGCAGACCTGACCATCCCCCTGCCCCAGGATGACAGCAATGCTAGCTCTGACTGTCTGCAAGTGCCGTGGGACTGCCCCTTCAGTCACTCCCTTCCCTTCTGAAGAAAGGCTGGCTCACAAAATGGACCTAGGGATGGATTATTTTTATCAGTCTGTATTGTGTGCTTTAAACAGATGAGCTGTAAAATCCAAAGGTTTTACATCTACTCTTACTGCTTAGATTTTTGGTTCTTTTTAAATCAACATGGGTTATTTCTGCTTCAGATGTCACTTATTAAGGGGATTGAGTGATGTAAAGAATAGTGATTTCCTAATGAGGGTCTTATGAATTGAAGAAAAAAGAATGTACTGGAAAAATTTTAACATTACAATCTTTGATTTTGTTACTTGGTGTCATGTTGCTAACAAGCATGATTCTGGCACTTGTAATTAGAACATTAAACTTTTTAATACCTGAACTACTCTAGTTCAGTCTTGAATTTCTGCCTGGATAAAACAGGAGGTTGAAAATTGCCAAATGCTAGCCTGGCCAACAAATGAGTGTTTGTGCTGGACTATTAATATGTGCTTCCCCCTTTTGAACAGGAGCTGCAGGCTGCCTTGGAGTTGCAGTCAGTGCAGAATAGCCAGCTGGCCGTATCCTTAGAGCATGAGCAAACGGTAAATGATAATCTCCGCAAGGAACTTCAGATCGAGCACTCCCGCTGTGAAGCGTTGCTGTCCCAGGAACAGACCAAACTGTCGGAGCTACAGAGAAATTTGGATGCTGAGAAAAATCGTTCGTTGGAGCTCCTGAATTCCTTGAATCACGAACGTGTTTTGACAGAACAGTTGAGCATGAGAGTGAAAGAAGGTGCTTCTTGTCAGCACAGGGAGTCACTGCTGGAACAAGCCTTTGTTCGAGAGCTCCAAGCCCAGCTGGAAGAAGAGAGGTCCCGAACTATGGAGCTAGCTGCTATTATTGAGAAAATGCACCAGAAGGCCATTCGTTCCAAAAGGCAGCTAGAGGCTGAAGTACAAATGTGCTGCGAAGAAACCCAAAAAGAGAGAGAGGTCAGTGACAAATTGCGAGCTACACTGGAATCTCTTCAGGGTCAAAAGCAAGAGGTAATCCGTTCCTTAGAGGCCCAGAAGGAAAGAGAGGCAAAGCTGAAAGCTGACTGGGAACAACTGCAGTTGCTCTTCAAGGCAATGAAAGAGCAAGATAAAAACAAGAAAGAGGAGAGAGAGAGAGAGCGAAGACAGCAGCAACAAACAGAGCTAGAGAAACAGAAGGACTGGCAGAGAGATCAACAGAGACTGGTGAGAATGCTGCTGCAAGTCTTGCCTTACATTGAAATAGCCACAAAGTGGGATTTAACCCTCTGGATGGTGTTCTTTAATTGAAATGTTTCCTTCCCTTAAACAAAGCGTTCTGAAAAATGCATTAGATGAGCTCTTTTCTTGCATTTCTCAAATGCAGCTGTTTTCAAGGGTTTGTGCCTGGGTTTATTGTTGACCGAAGTTCATCTTTACATCTTTGCCTATGCTGGGAATTGCTGGCTGCTAACAGATGGAGAAGAATACGGCTTAAACACAGAACGGAACGGAACTAGGTTTCATGTCAGTGCCCTCGTTTTGAGCTAGGCTCCTAATTATGGTTTGCGACAGTACCAATTTCACCCTTCTTGTTTCTCAGCTCCCTCACTTTCATTAGAGGAGGAGGGAGGCTTTGCAGGCTTTTTGGAGACTTGTCTGTCACCATGTCTGGAAATGGATGGAGAAAATGCCCACTCCAGAGTCATTACATGGCTTCCTGGTGGTCCTGGAAGGCAGTACTGTAAGCCTTCCCCTAAAAGTGGTCTGCGAGTTAAGGAACACTGAGATGGATATGCTAGCTGGATGTTATACTTTTATTTGCAGTCTGTGTGTATAAAAAACCAAAACCACAAAACACTCTGTGTGTATGTGTATATATATATGTGTGTGTGTATGTATAAGATGCAATTAACTACTACTTATTCTGTTCAAATAGCAAAACTTGGAACGGCAACACCAGAGGGATGAACAAAGAATTAAAGAGCTGCAGGAAATACTGGCAGTATTAGAAGAAAGAGAAAGAAATCTCCCATCTCCAAACCATCAGCAAGAACTGCTGTGTACCTTAAACAAAGATCGAAATGCCAAACAGGCCGTGATAAAAGAAACTGAGAAAGAGCATTTGCAACAGCAGCAACAACAGCTGGAGAAGATAAGACAGCAGTTGCTTTTTGTAGCTGTACACCTGAATGAGTTCATATATCAAACTGTAGATAAGTGAGTAGTTGTTCATAAAACAGTAGTTTTCTTTCCATCCTGCTTCTGAACTTGTGTGGTTCATGGCCGAGAGCCCTGTGCTGAAGGGAATGAGCAGTGTATCTGCTTACAAGACTTAACCTTGTGTGAAACCATGGTTTCGTGGTGGCAGCAGACTCTGATTATTGTCATCCCACTGCAGCCATTCCCATTAGAAGCTTGTGTGCCTGCATTTGAACTTGATCTGTGAAGTCACCTTGCTTAAAAAGAACAAAAAAACCCAACCCTACTGGAAAGTGTTGTTTGGTAGTTTGGCAACTGCAGCAGTCTAATTAGAGAGCAATCAAAAAAACAGGTTAATCAACACATCTGCAGGTTTAGAATGGGAAACTCCATTCAGCATGGCCGGGAAAAGCTAGGGGTCAGGAATCAGTGGCCAAGCCACAGTAATTTCTTACTACTTTGGCAGCAGAGTTATGTTTTGCTGCAGCCTGAATTTGCATGATAGAATTTCAGACTGGTATAAAATACAGACTTCTGAGTAAATGCTTATGTGGCACTATTTAGAAATTCTACTCCTAAAAAATTAACGAAACTTGCTAATTTCTGTGTGTATTTATAGTATTTTGTGTAATGAGTAGTGCGTAAGTACAGCCTCAAAACTTAAAGATCATCCAGTGGGGAGAAGGAAGCAAATGTATGTTAACATTACTACAAATCAACCTGATATTGAAAAAGTATTTCTGTTTAACAGAACAGTTAACAATTGGTCTGTATCAAACGATGAAGCTGTAGCCTCTTTACTGCAGACGTTAAAGGAACTAAAATCAGATTTATTGTCTCCTCCTGCATCTCAGGTAAGGAAAACAGCATATATTTGTTGATTATCAGTAAGTTGCTCTGTATTCTTTGGGTTGCAGATACATGTAAGTTGATTGATTTATTTCCCCCCCTCCCCTTCCTTTTTTGGTAAACTATTCTAAGGAAAATTGTGTTTTGCCTTGGGGATGGAAAAAAATGTACTCTTGTACTCACACTGTCATTATATTAACATATTTTAGTATCAGACTCTTGCTGCTTTGTTGTATTGCAGAGTCGGCTTCTGACGGCTTTTTTTTTTTCCTGGATACATAACATGCCCAAGGATAGCAAACCCTGGGATGTGTTGCTGCTGCTTCTGTATGCATCCAGAGACAGTTGTTTTTCAGCAAATTGTCAAGTAATTTTCAAAAAGCACAATAGTTGTTTGTCATCTCAGGAGGGGTGTTCTGACTGATGTTTGCAGTATTGCAAATATTTTATACAAGCCTAGGGATTATCAAAGACTGAGCTCAGGTCTGTTGATACAAAATACATAGCTTTTCGATTCCATCTTGTTCACCAGATAACTTTGCCCTATCATTTATATCTCTCTCTTGTAATAAAGAGATCTTCAACCACATTGCAGCCTTTTCAGCCAAAATTTTGGGATTTAGGGCTAACTAACAGTCTTGGCTCTGTTCTATTCAGCCTCTCTCTACTCCCTCACCTGCTTGATAGCAGATCTCCAGAAAACACACCTTTGAGAAGGGTACATGAAGAGGCTCTTGTAACTTCTGTTGTTCTCATATGCTCTGTAATACAACTCTGATGTATGACAAGCTGGCTAGGCATGGTGCAAGCTCTCCCTGTGACTAACGGTTTACAAAAAAACAATAAATATTTTCCTTCTGTCCCCTGTGCAGCCACTTAGGTGGTTGCCAAATGGATCATCTCCAGCCTTCAGGAAGGGGATGTAACCTCTTCCCAAGTTAGGTGTTCATGGAGTTATTCTGGTTAAGCCTTCCTCTCACAAAGCTTTAGAGCCCTCTGCTGTGGACAAAATGCTCAGAGAGCCTGTGAGGGGAACAAGGCAACTTTATGGCTCCATTTAAACCTGACTTAGCAGAACTCCCTCCAGAGCTGAGCTGTTTTTCTGCCTCAGCTCCCTCCTAGTTATTACTCTACTGGAAAAGCAAAAAATAGTTTGGGTTGTTTTTTGGTCTGACGGCTCTGATGCCATTTGGTCTTCTGTGTTAGAAACTCTGTTGCAAATGCATTTCACAGCTTCTAGGTTTTCCAGGCGCTCATCACCATCAGTTAGCAGGCCTCTTAACATTAAGCCAGTGAATGCCATGCAGAATAGCAGTCCCTTCTCTTATTGGACCAGACTTTGCAATTGCCTCCTCCAGGGACTATGACCACACTAAAATAAAGGGACTGAAGTTTTCTGACTTAAGTTTTGTTTAACAAAAAGAGTTTAGTGGAGCACTCTTAAGACATAGCCTTTCTACAGCTTAGAGACCAAAAACTCTACCTTGATATCCTTTCTTCTGTGGGCACAAACGGTCCCTCCTCTCTGCCCTCTTAAGGGCAGGCAAAGCCTAGAAGGCTTTGATATTTTTTTTTTTTTCCCCCTAGAATCACCTTTTGTTTCAGTCTCCTCCCTGAATTTCTCCATCCTTTAAGGTACTGAACCACATGCTCTGGAGACCAAAGGAATTTACTGCTGTTACCTCCTTGAGTTGTGATAAATTGGGGACTATTAGACAGGGAAACTGGAAAAATGCCAAAATGAAAAATCTGTGCCAAAATTCATATGGAGTCAACTGGTCAATCAAATGCCACCTGGTGTAGTAGAAATCAAGTGCATAGATAAATCATGTAGAACTCCTCAGATATGACAAGTATCTGTTACTGCCTTCAAATTGAGCTTTTCTAGGTCTGTAAAATGCCTCAGACGGTGGGACAGTAGTCCTTATTGGGATGCTTGCTGAGGACGCCAGTATAAAGCAGCTTCCCTCCACTTCAGTACAATACAGATGGTTTTTTTCCCATGTTTGAACTATTTTTAATAATACTTATCTGAAGTGTGTTTTGTATCTGAAGTCCTTACCTCTGCCCTTATTCTCAAAATGCTCTTCTGTCCCATCTCTGCGTGTGATATGGCACAACTGCCATGTCAGTGAAAGCCATATGTAGGGAAGTGTGTGCTTTAGTTTATCTAAATTCAGTGTAAAAACCTGAAACTGCATAGAACATCTGTGAATTAGATAATAAGTACAGGACAAGAGTTTAACTTGGACAGAAATAAATACCTAATTGCAAAACAATACTGAAGGTAGTGTTAGATTCTTGAAGCTTTTCACTTGTTTTAAATACGCTGAGAAGTGGAGAGCCTTTGCTTTCTGAAATTTTAAAGCAGCTGCAAAGTCAAAAGGGAGGGAGGTGGATTATGTGCAGTGAAGGTACAGATAACATTGGAATCCCCATTTGTTTCTGTATATATTGCAGGCAGTAAAAAGACTTAGATGGCTGTGGTTTATTATATAAGATTTTTTTACTTGACAAGTTGTACTCTTCATAGAAGACAAATGTAAATGGCACATGTTAGTATATTAAGGTATTCATAAGAAATTACTCCTGGAAAAAGTTCAAACCCCTAATAAGGTTGTACTAAAATAAGTTGCTAGGAGAAATTGGGGTCAGTTGTGTGTACTGGCTCCTCTAATGTACAGATTTTATTTCAAGGGATAAAACATTAACCACCTCAAAAAGTATCTTTTGTTTCTCTGTGGTCTGCTGCATCACGCACTGATGTAACTGTTGATCATTAAATTGATAGTTGATATAAAGAGGGTTATGAAGGCAGAATTTCCACAAAGAATTGGACCTGGAGTTGTGGGTCTCCGTTCCTACATGAGTTTTTTCAGATTTTTCAGAATTTACTTCTGTAGATGCTTCACACCATGTTTTTGTGCACGCATATACACAGACATCTTCACAGTTTCTGTGCTGCCTGTGGATGTGGAAGAAAGCCAGATGATTTGTGTCTGTTTCCAAGTGTTTGGGAGATTCTCTGTTATTAAAGGGAATAGGATTCCTGTAAAGCTGATCAGACCGATCTGTAGGCAAGGGGTAGCTTGATTAACAATTAATTTGATACTTCTTCAGAAGGGCTGCTTGTGTGTTTCAGTTTCCCATCCTACCGTTTAACACCTGAATGCCATTGCTGATTTTCAGGCTCGTTATTTTTATGTTTTAGTTTGTCCATAAAGTTAGGTTATTACTCAGTTTGAGATGTTTGGCTGTGGAAACAATGTACAAAAACCATCACGGCTCACTTCCTTTCGGTTTCTTTTTTAGATCAGATCTGCGAATGATACTGACTCTGTTCAAGAACTGGAAAGAGATGCTTTGCAGCGAGAGAGAAACATTTTACAGAATGCACTGAAACAGGCTGAATCCGAACTGGCTAAAGCAACTGTTGAAATTGAAAACAAACCAGTGGTGGAAAATTCCAGTCCTAAGGTAAACTGGTCGTGATGGCCAGCAAATGGGCTGTCTGGAGCTTGATGAGCAAGCAATGCCATAGCCACTAGCATGTCATTTAAACCTTTGGCACTTGGTTTGCTTTCGCTATCTTGCCTGTTGTACAGATTTGCTGTGTGAGAACCATTACCAATGCAAGATCATAAAAACTTCTGGAGACTTCAGTCCTTGGTAGTATTGTTCTTGGGCATTGCCTAAGGGATTAATGTCACATGTAGAGCAGATAATTTAGTAATTCTATTTTTTTTAATAAATATGATAAAACTTGCTGTTGCAGAGGAGCCAGGAAGTGTACAGGTCAGACTTCTGTGGATATAAGTATCTGTCAGATTATGGCATTTAACTTTCAGTTATTGCTGTAATCTTTTTCAGTTGCTATTTAAAAAGGTGATTTTATAGATGAACAGTTTTATAAACTGCATATTAAATTAGGAACACTTTTCCCATACATCCCTCATCAGAAAACTTCCTTTATAACTTTCTTGGTGTTAGACAGGAACTTGCACCAAAAGTAACCTAGCTCTTTGGAATCCCTTTCTACTCTTAAATAAGAGGGAGATTTAGATTTCTTGTCTAAGCATGAAAATATCAAACATCCATTATTTTTAATTCCCCGCCCCAATCTTAAATACTTTTTATTCTTCTGACACATTTGATTGTAATAAAGTCAGATGGGCACTTATATTTATTTAAAGCAGATGTTATTTTCTCTGTTAAAGAGTTAAACTGTTTTAGAGTTTTGGATGTGACAATTTTGCCTTGAAACATTCAGGAGATTGAAGGCAGCCTGACACTCCAAACTCGGGTGCTTTTTAGCTGTGTACAGAATTGTTCTAGCTGCCCTTGTGTCCACAGTACAGATGTTTGACGTGAAGACAGCTTGTTTGTGGCTGTCTTTTTGCACACCAACCAGTACCCATGACAAAATTTTCTAGCCTAGCCAAGACTTCGTAGACATACAGAAAGTCAGTAGACTTGGTACAAGCCTCCATGTATGGTGTCCAATCTGCCAGAGTGTAGTACTGCTACTTTGCACCGAAACTGGCCAGGTCACAGAGTCTGTTATACAAATGCTTGCTTAGAATTTCATTTTAGAGATAAATGTACATTGCTTTCATACTTCACAATTATTAAATAGCTTTCTACAGTTTGGTAAAGCAAAATAGATTTTAGATACCTGTGCACAACCAAGCTGTGGGAGACATTGCTGGAAAAAGTGACCAATTAAATCTTAACAGATTAGATTTTTTTTCCTTTTTTTCTTTCTCCAGTTGCAGAGATTATATAGGAAGTACCTTAGAGCAGAGAGCTTTAGAAAAGCTCTAGTTTATCAGAAGAAATACCTCTTGCTGCTGCTTGGTGGATTTCAGGACTGTGAGCAAGCAACCCTCTCTCTAATAGCACGTATGGGAATCTACCCCTCACCTGCAGACCTGCAGCTTTCTGGATCACGTTCCCGTCCTTTTACCAAGTTCAGATGTGCAGTCAGGGCAATCATCGCGGTATCAAGGTAAAGCCAAAACACTCGCTGTCTCTCATATGTGGTGTTTTCTTGGAAATTTTAAAAATTTATAGTTCCTATGGTTTATGCTACATTAATATGAAGCAAAAGCTGTCTCCAAAAGTAGTTCAAACATGACTTGCTAGCTATAACTTTGGCCAAACTGCTGTTTCAGAGTCAGCACTAAGTTGGATGCATACCAAACTAAAGATTTATAAAATGCTGCTTCTGTCTTGAGAGATACCCAGCTGCAATATATTTGAGAATCAGTGCACAACAATGACAAACTGATGTCCTTTCAGGTCTGACCCTTATCTATTTGGACTCACTGGATAGTTTGTCTTGTATCAGAATGTGATCATCTCATCAGTGATGGTTTTCCTCTCTTGAATCCAGTAGCTTGTGTTTCATTGGGTATGATTCTATCATACTCTGTCACTTACTATCAAATGGACTTTGTTAGCTGCACTTGGGACAATATGCCATCTCCTAACAACTTTTGAGTACATTTAATGAAAAATGTAATTTTTAAATGTAATAGGTGGTTACTTCTGAGCAATTTCCTTGTCTAGTAAAAATGATTACTAGCAAGTTTAAGACTTTTGGGAGATGGCACAGAATGTCTTCAGGCTGTTGTCTTTGACGTGGATGCTATAATGATAGCAATATCAAAGGATGTAGGAACAGTGACCTCCAAACTACTCCTCTGAGGCAGGAAGAGCTGCCACAGAACTCTCTGGAGATTAGGGACAGAGTGGAGGAGCTGTGCCAAAATGAGCAAACCTTTCCAACAGTTAGAGGATCGTTGCGGAATAAAATGGGATAAGCCTTCATTCTAAAGACTGAAGTTGAAGAATTCTTCCTCCATTCCTGCAAGGATTGTTACTTACGTTGTTTAATCATGCCAACAAAGAGTTTCAGTATTAAAATTCAATGTATTTTTGCTATTTTTAATGATTGTACAAATTTATTTTGTTACTAAGGTTAAAGTTTTTGGTGAAAAAGTGGAACAAAGTTGGCAGGAAGAGCACACAGGGTGAAACTATTTCTCACAGTATAGGAGGTAATACAGGTAAGCGTTTTGGACAAGTACATTGTTTTAATCATAATTTCTCTTCAGTGATGTGTTTCATTTAAAAACAAACAAAAAATACCCCCAGAGTGGCAAAATCTGTTTATCTGTTAACACAAATGTGTTTATCCATTTCCTGAACACAGTGATTATGAGTTTGCAAGAACATTGTAAGAAATTACAATTGAAAACTTTCAGAATTTATAATTTACAACAACGGCGAGCTCCTCCTCTTCTCCCTTTATTGCAGCTGCTCAAGCTGCAAAACGGAGTCCTGTGTTGATAAAACTCATCAGAGAATTATGTTTTGTACAGTTTGATTACAGTACCTGTAATGGAAATTAGTGCCACAAGTGATTAATAAGGCAAGGACAAATACTGCTGTAATAGTATTAAAATGGGTATATGCGGCATCAAAATAAGTCTTAAAAGTGGTATACTTGCTAGTGTTACCAGAGGTGAAAAAGGGTTTTAAGTGGTTCCAGAGGTTCAGAAGAGACTTAATCCGATGGCAGATATCCCATAACTATTTTCTCTGGAGTTTATTAAGTGCTATCAAAGATGACAAAGTGGACTGGATGGATAGATGGTCTGATGCAGTTCAGTAAGGACTGTGTTCCTTGGAGTTACTTATGGATGTTTGTAAGAATTCGAACAAACATCTTAATGCAGTACCCAATATCGTGGAACTGTCCCATTTTATGTAATATTCCATTACTTGTGGCTTTTCAACACTGAACAAAATGCAGATAAAACAGTGCATTTTTCATTACCTGGTACTACATAACTTTCACTGTTTCTAAGTTGCTGGAAATACTTTTAAAAAACAAACAAACAAACAACTTCCTACATAAAACCACTGTGGGTGTGGTTCCTATGAAACTTGAATCCTGAAATGCATGCTGAACTTTCTACCTCACTACAAAATAGCATCTTGGCAGCCTCATTAGCAAACATTTGATTTCTTTTTGTGATTTAAAGGACTTATCGAAGGGGTTTTTCTTTTTTAATGAAAACAAAACAACACCCCACCCTCCCCATCCACCAAATTGAACAAAAAAAAACCCAACACCTCTTCCTTTCTCTGCTGTCTCTAAAGTTGGAGAGTGTAAGTCAACAAGTGACATATAGTTAGAGCAAACAACAAGAATCAATTTCTTGAAAAAAATATTTTGCTCATATCAGCCATTGGAACGTCCCCTGTGTGGATACAGCAACAGCTGATGAAAAAGCAAGTCTGGAGAAAGAAAACAGTGCAAGTTCTCCATGTGCAGGAAGCAGTTGTTCAACATTAAAAGGTCAAACTTTTGTTAAATTTGGTTAAAACAAACAAAAATAAAAACAAACCAAAAAAGCCATTAGCTGTATAAAGTGTATTTTAGCTGCATTTAAAACCAAACGCAATTGTACTCTGCCGTAATTCTTGTGTGTTTTATTGGTTAGGTTTATGATAGGCTGTTTTGAATGGTTCCCATTATGTATTTTTTAACTGCTTCATATTTGACACAGCCTCTGGTGCTAGAACAGAAATTCTAAAAGAGCAGCAGCCCCCAGCTGTTCACATCAGCTCTCCCCCCACCCGGGACACTGGGCTGTGCCACAGAACCAGCTCTGCGAGATTTGTGAGCCGCTCCCCCAGATCCTCTTACTGCTTACACAACAGGTCAGTCTGCAATCTCTGCCTATGTTTAATCACCCCGATGGACAGTCTTTCACAAAAATGTAACCACCTATTGGAGGAGGTACTTGAACAAGAAGAAGAACTTGTTTTCTTAGGTCTGGTAAATTTCTTCAAGATTCTACAGGAGAAGAAAACTTCTTGTTTGCTTTAAACATGTCTGATGTTCTTGGACTGAGAGCATTCCTAGTGGTGTTCCCCAATTTAATTTGGACAGGCTACAGGATTTACAATGGCTATGTCCGTTAGCCTTCTTTGAGGGGTAACTCTTGTTGCTTTTGCTGTCAAAGTTGCAGATTAATTTCTGAGCATCCTGTGGAAGCGGCTCCGCTACCATATGACAGCGTTGCATTAGTATTAGCTGCCTTCAGACTCTGTGCATGCACACAGAATGGGAGGTGGAGAACTTGTGTGGTGTGTGCTGTTGCAGTTTTTCATGAATTAGGGCCAGTTCTGCACAGAAATCCAACGCCAGCTACTGGTTGCTGGGTTAGATGTCACAAGTGACATTCTGCAAAGCGCTGCTAAGAAAATGCCTGAGCTGCAAGTTCTGTGCTCGAGTTGGAGGAAGGTGGCCTTCAGTTATTACTGGCCTTCCTGGTCCCAGGCTCTCCTGGGACCCAAAGTAACCTCGCGCATTGCATAGTCCATTACTGGGTGTAGTGTCTCCTCTCCCAAGCCACTCCTCGTATGTGGCTTCCTCCTTAAAGTAAGGATTTGCAGGAGTTGATGTGGAAGGTAGCTGTTCTCAGTCCCATCGGCTTGGGATGTGTTGTTTGTTTCTTAACCTCCTTTGCTACAGTAGAAACTTCAACCAGCAGGCAGGAATTTTCTTCATAAAGAAAAAAAGAGCAGCAAGGAGGTAGCTGTGGTGACCTAGAGGTATGCAAAGACAGCAGATGCTCCAAATTATTTTAGGTTTTTTAACACTGCGGACCGATTTGGGGGACAGGACAGTGCTTGTCATGAAGGACAGGTAGTGTTCTGGTTTGCATAGACTTTAGCAAAACATTTTGGAGAGTTAGAGACCTGCAAGCATTTCCCAAAAGACTTAATTCTACCCCACCCTGTTCCTCTGTCATGGCACGTATCTGGGTCTGACAGCCAGATAGCAGCTTACCTATCAAGAAAAGTCATCTGTATTGTATGGAACAAGGATATTAATAATAGTAGGCCCTGACTGATTACTCAGTGTGACTGGGTTAGCAGTAGCGCAAGTCTCATGTGGATCCAAGACAGGTTAAACGATGCTTGTTGCTGCTTTTGTTTCCTAGCAAAGCTGTACAGAAAGAAGGGGTGGATAGGAACTACTGTCCGCTAATCGAAAGGTGCAGGGGAAAGAAATAAATCCTAACTCCAAATGGGAGTGTGTTTCCACCATGTCCCCTCCAATGTATATTTCTGCTAATATTTGAAATTTGTTGTTAATGGCCAGAAAGGAAACACAGTGTACCATCTAAAGGGTCCCCTTTTTCGACCCTGTCTTTCAAGACAGCATTTTACCTGCTGACCAGGAGAGTACACGCCTGGTGGCAGCATGCCTCTCTTTGAACAGGAGAGTACACGCCTGGATGCAGCATGCCTCTCTTCAGTCCTTCTCTGCAGAAGTGGGTCTTTTCTCACTTGGCCATTTGGACTCACCGCTGGCTGCAGCTTTTTTACCTCAGGGGCTTTGTGTTGCATATCAGTAGAGAGTTTCATAGATACTCTAGCTTTTATCATAACATCCTTTCTTTTCACTCCCCTATATACAAAGATGCCTGGCCTGTATTGTTTTATAAGTAATTTTGTGGTGGTGATGGTGTTTACTGTTGTTCTAGTTTGCTTTGCACTGAATTACTGCCTATATGAATTGAACTTTATTATATTTATTTGAGAGTATAGCATGAGAAGAGGAAAATAATTTGTTTTCCTTTAAGATTGCATCCATCCACAAGTTCAGCTTCAGAAAAGTCACTTGTGCCTACTCAGGATCCTGAACGATCGCTAACGGAATACATCCATCGCTTAGAGGTTATCCAGCAAAGACTAGGGGGTGCGCAACCAGGTAAGAACCACCTTGTCACCCCTCACAGCTGCCAGTGGTCTGGGCTGCTTTTTGCAAGGTTCTTCCTACATATTGCCTGTAACACTTAAAGCATGTAAAGAGCACCATTTTAATGAATAATTATTGGGGGGGGGGAAGGAGAAAAAATTAAGTAAGTCTCTGAAATGAAACCTTTTTGTGAATCATATCTAAAACTAGTCCAAGTGTGGCATTTGTCAAAATAAGTTCTTAGTGAAATTCTTCAGAGATAAGGCTGAATAATTTCATGTGATTTCCACTCCCCCCATCAAGTCTAAATAAGCAAGTGTTGCAGTTAAAATGAAGTTGTGTATAGAGTTAATTTGTTTTAAAGTCAGAGAGAACCATTGTAATAGCTGAACAGGGCTTTCTCTGCAGCACAAACTATAATACTTCCCTCATTTATTGCTTCCTTATATTCCATAGCAGATTAAAAAAAAATATGGAAGCTGGTAAAAACAGCCATCTAGTTCTGATTGATCAAAGAGCACACAAGGGATTTTAGTGGCACTTATCTTTGCTATTTAAAAAACTTCCACCTAATTTCTAGACTAAATTTACTTAGTTTCATCTTCTAGTTACTTGCTCTTCTTACATCTTAGTTATATCACAGAAATTCCTTGTCCCAAGGAAGAACTTACAAACTGTCATCACATTATCCTCAAATCATCTCCTATCAAGATATGATTAGATGTGTTTTCCAATGTTTTGTTATTTTTGAGACTTATGTCTAAACCTTCTCCAGTGTATTAGTATCTCTGGATGGTGAACAACAGAGCTGGACCTCCGGCTGCAGTGTTATCTGTGCTAGGTCAAATACGAAGATAACTTGTTCCTTGTTTATACATGGAACCATGGTGTTGCAGGGGCAGCCTCCTGCTGCCTGCCTTCTCCGCTGCAGGGCAGCAACATAAATTGTACAGCCTTGTAATATTTACAATATCCACACACGTGCTCACACAGCCCATGCCATGGCTACGCCAGGGGAAGTCAGGCTCCTGCACACCGATCCCAGCAGGTGACTGGGGGAGGGCACCCGTGTTAGCTCAAATCACTGGTAGGGATGGGATCATGATGACCGGGGTCCACATCGGGGTGTAGCACATAGCTTCATCCCAGGCCCAGGGAGAAGCACAAAGCTCCAGCGCTGCCTCCTGTGTGGAGGCTCCTGAGGAGCCTGCTGACAGCTGTTCCTCCGGCGTCTTTGGAGCATCTTCCCCAAAGCTTGCTTCACCCATCCAGGTTTATGTTGCTAGTTTCCTGGACTGAGCTAATATGGGCTATCAGGTCAGATAATGCCATTGATGTTTTCATCCTACCTTTATCCCTTTCATCTGCTATTGCTGGTTCCTTCCCCGTGTTAGTTCTGGCTGCTCATCCCCACAATCAGTTTAATTCGTCATGCTACTTTTGGGTCACTATGGTCCTTGATCTCTAGGCAAGCACCAATTTACTTCCTTCCACCAACCACCACCCTTGGCTCCCCATAATTTCAGCCAAAAGCTGGAAAAGATTACCAGGTAGATATTTGGCTGTGGCACTGTGGGAGGGCCGTGTGGATTCCTTCACACGCACATACACATCTTATGTGTTTCTTTCACTGAGCATAACCGTTGTCAACTGCTGTTTCGCAGGCAGACTTGTCTCCTCTAATTGTCCTTCAGCCTTTGCCCAGAGATGTGTGGCTTTATATTGGTTGTGCCGAGATGAGAAAAATATTTGACCATATCCAGAAAATCTCTGCCAGTTACCAGTACTCTTACTGCTGGCCACTCCTCTGGTCTTTATCATCAGCAGATCATCTCTGTGGTGATTTTTATGGGAGGTGGGGTGGGGATTCAATCACTGATCACAGCATTAAATAGTGACTCTTGGCGTCTTGCAGTCATTGCAGATGCTCATTCAAATAGCATCTACTGCACTGGCTCCTCAGCAGTACCAGGTTTGAACATTTAATCTGCGTTGTAGGGGTGCTGTATTGTTCTCATTCAGTTTCCCCACAATTTATAAAACGCATTATTAATTGTGACTACTGACTTTACTGCTTCTGGAAAAATAATGATTCTTAAGTTAACTTCTGAGGCAATTTTTTTATGATTACATGTTGCTTTCCTAACACATTTTTAGTGTTAACTTTGAAAAATTAACCTTGAAAATTATGTGTTTCTCTAAAAAGAGAGGAATTTTGGTTTTGTCAACATTCACAGGAGCCTGGTGTGACTGGACAACAGCTCTGGAGAAAGTCTAAAACATTGCCTGTTTTTCTGGCACTCTGAGTTGATCTAATAAAAAAAGTTTAAAAAAAAAAAAAGCCTAGCTTTGCTTACAGATCCTAGTTTTGCTTGTATCACTAAAGTCAACAGCTACAGTGACACTTCCATATGGGAACTTTGACATTGTTCTCAGTGGGATTTTACCTAGAAACCTTAATACCATGACTTTGTGGTTTCCACACTGCGTGCCCCACCCCCCCCCAATACTGCAATTTTTTATGGCAGATGTAGGCAGATATAGATAGATAAACAAATTTTAGACATGAAACCTGACAGCATTTGTAGAAATAAGGTATTTTGCTTTATGCTAAGTGTGGAATAAGTATTCCACAACTGGGACACCATTAATAGCAATTTTGTGGAAAGTGCATATCATTTTTGTAATTTTCATGTTACCAGAATGATGATGTCAGGAATTATAGAATGATGTTGCAACCTTTAGAACAGTGCTGTGAGCAAAATGATTTCCCAGTTTCTAATGAACTTCTACTCAGTGACAAGACCTTGTCCAGCAACAGAATGCGTATTGAATCATCGCAAGAGTGGTAGAGTTGAACTGAGCAACGCTATTGCTGTGTGTAAAGTAGGCCTGCGATTGAGCGCTGGTCTTAGTGTGTGAACGTTCGCTTGGCAGACGTGTGAGCTTTCAAATCTTGTTTTCTATTATTCCTAGGTGGCTCATGAAAATGGCAATTGCTTTCAGTGTAGGTCATTACGAAGCACATTGAGGAAATAACATGCTGCTAACTGCACCCTGTTGCTTCATAACACAAGCAGTTTTCTAATATTCATTTGTTTTATTTAAATTTAGGACAAGTTCCAGGCTCACCTCGCCAGAGAAACATGAAAAAGTGATGAGAGTGCTTCTGAAACCTGTACTGCGAACCCTCCTGAGTTACTGCTTCCTTCCGAGTTGGTCTGTACTGAATGGAGGCACTTGCGATCTCTTGTGCAACTGAATAAAGGGCAGTGCTTTTGCATCAGATTTTTATATGACCCTTTTTATTATATTTTAGTACTTTAAGAGGAAATTACTTTTCACTAAGAACAATGTTTTACATTCTCATGTGAAATTACTACTAAGTTAAAAGCTGAAGTGTGCCTGCATCACTGTATTGTAAGTTGCAAAGAGTCTTTGGTGTTTATTTTTCTATAGCTTATAGCTGGATTCCTTGTTAAAAAAAAGTTATTAAAATGGCATTTTATTAGTGAATTCTTACATTGTATGGTTATTTGTTTCCACTTTACCTATTTACTTTTTTGCTGTTCCTAAAATTGGGTTTTAGTATCTCTGCAGGATCATTCTGACTAACAGAACAGCTAAAATGTTCTCCCAAATATCAAAGATATGTGTAGCCTTCTGTGAATTTAGGGTTTGCTCTTCTGGTTTTACAATAAATAAGTCATCCCTCCCTCAGTCTTTCTCATCACATTCCAATTCAGTGTCAAGCCACCACTCCTTGAGCTCTTCTGTGATTGAGCTACGCATGCATGATATATTTGGTCTGATTAAAGTCATGCAGTATAATTAATCTGTGCCTGCTTGGGAAGTCAAATGCATGTTAGATTTTCCTCCAGTGTGACCTTCACCTATCAGACTGATCTTTCCAGCCATGAACTTGACGCAGTATCAGAGCTCTCCTTCCAGTTTCCTCTCATGTCCCCTCTGGTGCAGTAGTGCATATGGGGGTACCTGGTTCTTCCCCCTCCCACCACCACCCCAACTGAGCAGAGCTTTGAGGGGAAATTGCCTTCGTGTTCAACGTACGGTATTTCCATACACTACAGGATGTCTGCCCTTACTGTGCTGCGGGTGTGTCCTGTTTGGTGTGTCCCCTCCACCCTCCTCCAAGTGACAGCTTGGGCGGGTACCTTCTCTCACTACCCTGTCACAATCAGCTACTAGTGTGGTGGGTTGTATTTGCTGATGATTTGAATAAAGGTAATGGGTGCTAGTCCACATACGAGCAAACCTATGCTGGAACTAGTGAGATAGAAGGGCATGGATCTTCTCCTGGAAGGCTCCATTACAAGTAGTTTGGAAACAGCTGAACTCAGCTGGCTGCACCCTTGCCTCTCCCTCAACTTATCAGAGACTCTGAGAGAGTAGTCTGAAAAGGAGCTGCTTCTGACACTTGGCAAACTGGAGCATCTGTGTTACAGAAATGCTTACATGTTTAGGAACTTCAAAAGAAAAAACCCAAAAGAAAACAAATTGTTTCCAAAGTAGATTTGGATTAGACTAGCGTTTACAAATGGGAAAATAAACAGAGTCAATGCAGGAAAGTAGAAATTAAGTTCAGTCTAAAGTGCAATAGGGATAGAAGAGAAAAGTAAAGCTTACAAGCACTAATAGAAACTTTTAACACAACTCTTGGCCTGCTGGTAGTTACCTTTCCTATTTAGTCTGGATCCTTTTAGCTTAACTTTCCTAATTGAAAAGGCTCATAACTTTTGTTTAAATTATGCATTTTTGGCAAAACCAAACAAAACCCCTAAACTATATCTACCTCTAATGTAAGTGAAACTCCTGACTGCAAATCCTAGCTCTGCCCAGTACCTTGTGCTGTAGGTACATTTCAGGGAGGTGTGTATTAAGTTGCTGGTCAAAGAAGAGAAAAGTCGCAGCATTCTGGTGGTACACCCATTTCCAGTCATAATGTATCACAGTGCAAAAATATTCTGAATATCTTGCTGAGTAAGACTTCGTTCTGTGATATTTACCTGTGGTATTTGTTATCATGATACTTCACAGAAGCCAAGTGCTTCTTGGGATAACCTAAGATTCATTCTTCTCTTTCTTTTTCTTTAGAAAAAGTATAGGCAGAATTAAAATACCAGAAGTATTTTAAGACTCTGGAAATGTGAAATCTCAACCTTTGAAGCATACATGGTGTTCAACTCTGGGTTATCAGAAAAATCTCTGCTGGAGGCAGATTATTCTACTACAGCCTATTAAAAGATTTTTCGCTACAGGATATTTGACAATTGGATATTGGTATTTGTCTGAGATTTGATATTTAATTGCTTTTGTCCAATATTGGTCTTGGCAAGCCCTTGTTTATTTGTCAGGTAGATCACCATTTAGTTCTCTGAAGAATAATGGGGGTGTGTGTACACAGCCCTTTTTTGCTGATGGCCTATCTGTGGGGGAAACAAGCAGTGCCAAGAGCTCCTGTGCTGTGTGGAGGAAATGCTGTGGAGCTTTAGCACCAACCCTAGGTGAAGGCAAAGTCTTTACCGGAGGTACTGGACTGCCCCTGGTACTTGTGGCTCCTCAACAGATGCTTCTGTCTCTGGGTTGATTGGAGCCTGGCTTGATGAAGCGCTGTACCTGTCAAGTCTGTGTATTTTTATTGTTCAGTGGTGGGAGCATCCAAGGCTGTATTCCGGAGTCACCAGCAGACTCGGAGCACGGCCAGCAGGCAGGACACTGTGCAGTTCAGGCTCAGGAGACTCCAAAGCTGCCCTCGAGCAGCCCTGTAACTTTGGTGGTGTGTGCTCCTGACGTGCCTGCTCTCAGCCTGGCTGCCCCTTGGGGAACCCTTTGCTGGGTTCCTTGGCTACTTGCCAGGCTGCCTGTTCCAGAGGCAAGCGTGCTTGTGGGACCCAGGACCTGTGTGGTGTTTTGCAGGCTGCAGGTGACCTTTGGGCCAGCCCCTGAAGAACTCATGCTGGATACATCGCAGGTGGCATCCTGGTTCTTCTTCAGGAAACCGGTAACTTACTGCCTTCTGGATGTTGGTAAGACCTTTCCCAGTGCCTGCTCTTACCCTTAGTGAGCTAGTGCTGGCTGTGCCACTGTGCTAATTCTTCAAACTTTTGAGAATCTGTATTTCGCTGGCAAAAGGTTATGTTGAAAAAAAAGTGGCAATGCACTAGCTTTGGAAGTTAGCTTTGGGCCTCTCATCAGTACCATTGTAACAGGTAAGAAATGTCCTCTTACTTGAGCAAAAAGGTACTAAGTGATCTGCAGGGAAGAGGATACCAAGGGTACTGTGTATGGGAGGATCCCGGCTGTGCTGCTGCAAGGGCTGCTGACTCAGATTCTGGTTCCACAGTCCCAGGTAACGGATCCGTGCACTGTCCTACACAGGGATTGGGTCCGTGCGCACATGTGACCCAGTTTGTGCGATGTTATCCTGGCACACGTACAGAGTTTATTATCCTATGGCAGCTATAAGAGAGCCTATTACCTGATTGGGCATAAATTTAAGAGGACCATGAACAATCAGTACCTGATTTGGTATATAAAAGCTTGGCAAAAGTAACTTCACTTGTCCAGAGTTCCAAGCCAATTTGAACTGAATAAGTTTATGCTGGATCAGTGACTATCGTATTTCTTTTCAAAATCTGATTCTAGGAGTCTTAACGCTAGATGTAGGATTCTGTCAAACTGCACGCTCTGAATGGTGTTGGTGTCCTTCTTGTTTAGCATAGCATCAGTTTATCTTCTGTTATAAATAACGTGCATTTCTAGACCAGAGTTCAAAACTGGCACTAAATCAAATCTGTAATTTCACATTCGCACATGAACTGCACTTTTCATTTTGACTTTGTAAGCAGGAGGGCTGTTAGACCTTAGAACATGTACTCCATTATAAGCCAGTAAGTAGTGACATTGCAAATCTAAATTAATGACTAATTTTAAAATCTGGCACTTTCACGTGGACAATAAAAAACACCTTTTAAAAGACAAAAGGTAAATTTTATGTGTGTGTATTTAGTTAGTTTCCCTGCATGCCCTGATGTTCATACATTGGTACATCATAAGGGTCAGTTCTGTTTCAAGTGAACTTGGCTTTGTGTTTGCACACTTTTAAATTGGTCTACAGTGTAAGTAATTTAATGTCCCAAAGATTCACTGCTCTTAGGTCAGTCACTGATAAGGTGAAAACGATTCCAGTATTGCCTTAGCATCTACACAAAAGCCCTAGGAACAAACACTGTCTTCCCTTAGCACTTTGTGCCAGATGCAAGCATAGCGGAATAGTGGATAATTTAAGTGTTCCTATGCATAGTTTACTTCACCCTTCTCAGAAATGAGGATTGTGAATGAAGTAAGGCTGTTTGTTAGCAATTCACCTGCAGGCAAAGAGAGCTATGAGTCACTTGATGTATTTGCTGCTGAGGCGGGAAGCCACACTCCACCACCACCACCTGTTGGAAGCCAAGCACTCAGCACCCACTGAACAGCAGGGCTCTTCCCCTGCCTCTGCCCAAGCCCGTGCCGGGCTTGCATTCAGCTGTGCGTTCAGGTGGAACCTTTCCATGACAGTCAGTGCTGTATTATTCCCCTGCCTCGCCTCCTCCCTTCGTAGTGACCTCTTACCCCACTGCACCGCAGTAGCCCCTGTAAGATAGTCTCGAGTATTCGCTGTTTCCAGAAACACAGGCAGGATGTGGGGGGTAAGAGGCAGATGCTGCAGCCCCCTATTCAGAAAAGAAATCTGCAGAGAAGAAATCAAGCCCACCAGTCTTTCAGGATCTGTATAGCTAACATGTTGCCTGCAGCTACACTCCCATCAGCTCCCTGGTTCCCAAAGAGACAAGTTTTCTGAAGGACAGTGGAAGCACTGTGGCAGAAATGTTTCTGCCAGTGCAGGGTGGTCAAGTTTTGAACAGCGTGGCTTTCCAAGTACTGGTGTGGTGCATCTGTGCCCTCTGAAGGGCAGTCATACAGGACGTGCTCTTTTGTGACATGTTGACCTCAGTAGTATGAGCAGAAAAACCAGAGGCTGAAGCATTTTGGGACTGAGTAGG